AGTTTCAATATTCAGATTTAGATGTCCCTATCCAGAGGTAAATTTTCAACCCAGTGTATTTTTCAGAATCTCCTGAAGCAATTGTGTTCGGCTTATGTTGAACACCTTCCAGTCATTGATTGTGTAAGAGTCGTGGGTGGGGTTGATGAAAAAGCCACAACACTTCTCCCTTGTGGGTTTCTAGATCAGTGCAGATGCAGAAAGGTTGCTAGAAGGGAGATGGTGTTGTGCATTCCCTCCCATGTGTTCCTTGGCGGGACCAGGTCATCAACAAAGGCCAAGGTGGTAATCTGGTTTTGCCACATCGTGACATTTGCTCTGGTGGACTCCATAACCATCTTTTTGTGAGTTGCAGAGTAAATGGATTGATTTGGTGACGTTGGATTCCTTTGTTTGACACTGACCTTGCTGGTAATTGGCTCAGCATGACCCTTTTTCAGTTCCAGATGGGTGGTGTCACCTCCAAATCAAGTTTCGTCTGACCACACGCTCAGACAGTTCTTTTTACTTCAGCACCAGGAGGTATGTTCATGAGTCGCTGAGTAGGTGGCCTTGGCCGGTTCTGTGAATACTGCCTGCAAGGGCTGTGTTTTTTCCTAGCAGATTGAATGATGATTGGAGTGACTGTGCACTCAGGTTCAGCTATAAGGCCTCTTTGTAACCCATCAGCCATTAACAGGCCAAGCTTTTGTTACCCTGGTTGTCAGAATCCATGGGAAGGGCATTAAGATGGTTAATCAGATTGTGATGGGTCTCAGTTTTGCCCCATAAGTTGATTTCACTTATCAAAATTGTTCTGTGTTCCTTGATACTACCCAGTACACATGCTGCCATCCCTAAGTCAAAGTTCTGCTAGTACCGGTCCTGTGGGTGTCTGTCTGTACGAGGCCTTTTAAACTTACTTTGTCTAGGTCAGGTGCTGAGCTTTTACTGGTTTCTTTTATCTCCTTCAAAATGTATTTAGGTGTTGTCAGTTTAAAATTTATCTACTTCCCAAGACTCTGAAACTCCTCTGTGCTGAGAAATAGTTTCTTGCTCTCCCACTTGGACTTCACTGATTGAATATACTGCTGCACAGATTCACAGACAGAACATTTGTGATTTTTATAGGGATATTTTCATAGGGTAATGCTCATAGGGGGAATTTGCGAAACTACCCTACGTTTCAGATCCATGTGTTGTCTCAGCCATGCAGTGATCAGCTGGAGAGCTCCTGGACCAGGCAGTCAGTCAATGACCAAGTGACCTTGGCCTGCACAGAGACGAAGCCTTCATATCCAGCTGCACTGTGACTCCAACTATAAACTTGAACTTCATCCTTTCATCACAGCCGTATCTCAAATTCCTTCGACTTTGGCACAATACCTGATCCACTGACCGCTGTTTCTGCCTTGTATCTTCCACAGAGGAACACTCACTGTTTTCTCATCCTCACATAGGAGTGCTCGGAAGCATGATTTAAAGAGCAAGAGGCAATGGGTGGCTTCCTCAGACCCTTCCCTTCAGGGAGGATCTGAACAGAGCTGTCCCTTCCAGAGCACAGCATCCCTTTGAGCAAGATGTTGTCATGTCAGCCATCTTCAGGCAGCTCCTGTCTAGGCAGGAGTGAGAGAAGGCCAGACGCTCTGGGCTGCTCCTCTTTACCTACTCCCCTTCAGCAGCATTTTATAAAGAAGATTTCACCTTCTTAGCACTCAGTCCAAGTTCTGTGAAGTCCAGAGCGCGTTTTATCTCTTTCTGTGTTGCATGTACCCAGACAGCAGCTGTCACACAACTGACAGATGAAACAGAATGTGTTTTTTGCTTTTATTGAAAGCACAAGATGTCTCAGGGTGTTTCCTTACCTCTGTCTAAAGGTAGAAAGTCATACAAACACAGCTACTGCTGTGATGATGAGGGATGGGTAAATGGGAAGGATTGTGTCAAATAAAAAGAGATTAAGGATCTTTTAAGAAGGGAACAAGGACTTTCACAGTGTCTGGACACTGTCCGAGAGCAACTGGGTTGTAGTTCACAGAGTAGGAAAATCCACACAGGGAAACGAAAAGGAGCTGATGTGCAGAGTGACATTTGAGGGATTCTGGAGGAAGGCAGAATACCCTACATAAGGAAGAGACAGAAGGAATTACCCCAGTCTTTCAGCGAGATGGTCATCTTTAATCGTTCATCTTTAAAGCTGGTGCACTTATCTCCTTAACGGTGCTGTTCTTACCTAAGGAAAAAAAAACCACTTTCCAATGTACTATCTTCCAGTGTGAAAACCAAAACTTTTTAAATGTCAATTTAAAAATTGTCCAATTTGTAAAACCTTAAAATTGTGCTTGGAATTTGGAATTGGCTTGGAAAGTTGGAATAAAATGGTAAATTCCATTCCTCCCACCCACCTTGCCCAAGTTACAAACCAGTACAGAAATATGCAAAGGTTTTTATTAATAGTTATTGTTTAACAGGTGAGTGACCATTTTCATAACAAAGTTCATTAAATGTCTTGAAAACAAATTATTCTTGCATTCTACATATATATGCGCATTTCCAAACAAATAACCAATCCAGAACAATAGCTGTTGGGCAAGACAAAGCTCACAACAGAACTTCCAACAGAACCTACAAAGGGGGAATATTTCAAAAAATATGCAACACACCAACAATTGTGAGTTTTAGTAGAAACTAACAGGACCTGTCCTCTTAAGTGAATTATACACTTTTAAAAATCCTCCTCAAATAACTCTGAACATACTCATCTACAAGGTGTCCATGAACAATAGTTCACAATTAATTGTAGAAATAAACACTTCTAAAAAAGTGAAAGCGAGTATCAAACATTTATTACATTGCATCCAATCCTGTACAATTGTGTGATGCTTCCACGTACATACTTACACTGGAAAAAAGTATTTCACCCTCTTGATTACATTCTCTTTAAACATTGAGTGATATCTGTGACAAACTATGAAAAAAAAGCATAAAACATTTGATCTTTTAACACTAAGAACTAATGAGCATGTACAAATTCAAGGCATGAATCTGAAACACATTGGCATCGATTCCCTGGCTGCTGTTTGTCAGCAGAGTTGCTTAACTGCCTGTTTGTAGGCATGAAATGTGCCCCAGCTCTGCGGTCGGACACTTTCCACCTCCTGGAGGAATTACGCACAGGGTAAGTTATTCAAACTAATTTGTTCTACTGGGCAGTTAGGGCATGTGCATACGGGCAGCCACAGCAGCTTGGCTCAGGCTGTCACACAAGAGCAGTAACTCAATTGCCTTCTCATCTCCCAACCCACATACGCTTGGCATCCAGACAAACTGGCCTTTCTGGTGTCTGTGACTCTATCTCTTTTCTTTTTCCACGTTTGTCTATCTATTACAATTTCATTTAAAACAAAAATTAAGAAATTACTATGTAAGAGACTAACAAATCAATACAACAGTGTAATTAGCACCACCACAGTGAGCAAAATCACAGCTGGAAAACTGAGTAGTTGGGAAACATGTATTCTGTTTAACCATTTTGTTCCATGTTAGGTATTTTTGCTGAGTAACTGCAGTAGGTTGCACACACTACTTCAAAAGACTTATCTGCTGTCTTCTGTGCCCAGACTGAAATGAAACCAGGAGGAAATAATAAGAGAAAACCCCACATCTGCTGGAGTTCTGTTACATTTGGATGGGCATTCACTTAGCTGGATTGCTTCCAAGCCATGCAGTAGCTGATTGCCTAGAGCAAACGTGTTTGTCAAGTGTAACCCTCAGTAAATAAAGAACCTCTAATTAAAGAACTGACAACCTACCAACACTAATCAAAGTCAAGTAACAGAGAAGACCAGATGCTACAGACCAAAGGGTAAACACTGCCCCTTTGAGGTCTAAGGCTGGATTAGAAAGGAGGAAGAAAAAAAAACAGTTATTCTCCAAAACACATGGCACATTTGAAAAAGAAGGAGGTTCCTACTGCTACAAGGACACAAAGAATACTTAAAGTTTTAAGGGATTTTAAGCATGGAAATGCACTGGTTTTTTGTTTGTTTATCTAGATCTGTTTATTTTACTGTGCTAACTAAACTAAAACGCTGCCTTCCTTAAAAGTTTGCAAAGCTTGTATAACTGTAGGCTCTTATGGTCACGTGTACAGGAAGCGGTGAACCATACGCTCAAAATTTAAGAGTTGTGGAAAAACATACTTCAGTTCTGGGAGAACTGAGACAGCCAGAGAGGGAGGTAGTGGCTGCCAGTGCAGGTTGCAGTGAGGTTCCTATCTGCAAATAACAAAGAGGACCCATCCCAGGAACACAGCCAGGTGCAATGGCTGTAGCCCACGGAGGTTCCTGCAAGCCAACCAGGTAGTGGCCAGTGCACCGGGACGCAGAGGCAGCAGCACGGTGACAGCTATAATGGAGGCACACCGTTGGGTGACAACTAACACCCTGACTGAGAAAAAAACATAAGTATTCTTGACATCTGTTCAGTACGATGGGAATACAACTTTGAGTTTATACACTCTCCAGCACCCAAGCATGGATCTCCAGCTCCAATGAGACTTTCATCTGTTTCTTTAGGTGTTATTTTAATCAGCATCTTGGATGATTCATTCATAAAGTACTACTTGTGTATTAAGCTGGAAGACAACGCAAGACTGATTAATTTGAAACATGATCATACTATGTCCCTTTCCAGAACACTAATACATACGTTTATACACACACATTTACAGATATATATATTTACATAAATGTACATATATATACACGCAGGATTTGTGGCAAGCAGCTTGCTCAAACAGTCTCTTCCAAACATCTGCCTCAAAATCAGTCTTGCTTAAGCAAATAAACAAACTTAAGGGAAAAAAAAGAAAAAAAGGTAGCGTTGAGACACCATGTAAAACATTAGGGATAAGGAGCACAATGTGCCACCCCACTTGGGGGAAACAAATCACAACTTCTCTGTTGATAAGAGTATGGACATGAACCCAGTAAATCACTCTAAACAGAGTTCTGTTTCGCTGCTTCTGATACCTATGGAAGCTGGCATATCTCTATACTACACTGCAGTCTGCAATACAAACACACTCATAGAGTTTAAGAGCATGCATAGCTCACTGGAGCATCTGCTGTTAGACAGGGAAAGGAAAGGCACCAACACTGCACATGTCCCATGCAAATACAAGTGCAACAAGGAGGAGAAACGGAAACACAGTAGGAGAATTTAACAGCTTCAGCCTACACTGTGATTGTCCCTACTATGCACGGTGGATCACATGAAATCCCATTATTTCCCCTACTTATCGTTTTCCTAACATGGCCTTTTCTGCCCTCTTGAACTTCTGTAGTTCAATAGCTAGTTCCCAATATCTCAGATACAGCCACATAAGTCTTCCATTTTGACTTTTGTTTCTGTTCAGCAGATTGCCACAGTAGTTATCATGTTTGAAAATATCTTTTAAGCCACTTTCCATATGTAGAGCCATAGCAACTGGATCAGTTGCTGCTTTAACTAGAAGATTCTTCTCTATTTCTAGTCTCTGGCTTCTGGGTACGACAAGACTGCAGTAGATGTCCTGCCTTTCTTTAAGTCCCTCTTCAAATTCTTTTAGTAAAATACTGGCTCGCTTTTGCCACTCTTCTTCCTTTGCCAGACAAGTCTGGTACAAGTTACCTGCTGCTCCCGAGTGCAAAAGGACTTGTTTTTCTCGCTCTAACTTCTCCTGCTCCTTCTCTAGGATCCTTCTTTCTTCTACTAGTTTGCGGCTCTGGGACACGAGGGCTTCACGGTAACTCAGGGTTCTGTTGCGTTCCTTTTCAAGCTCCAACTCCAAGTGAGCAACCGTGCGACGATTTTCTGTGATTATATCCCGGTATTTGGCTTCCAGGTCTTTTTGTAAAGATGAATGTTTTTTATAATATTCTTTTTTTTCTCTTTCTATTTCCTTTTGACATTCTCTGGTCCAGATCCAACCTATCACACAGAAATGAGACTTCAGACACAACACATATAACACTGATGGGTATCATTAACTATGCCTCTAAAGAAGGTAGTAAGTGGTAAAAGACTTTATTTCCTGCCCTCCCCAGTGATATTCACTTCTGTTCATGTCCCGCAAAACGTGGGTCCATGTTTCACAGCAAGTCACTTTAAATGATCATGTTTCCTTTGAAGTAAAAATCTCCCCTAGTCTTTTACTGCTAATTCATACACTTCTTTAATCAAAGAAGGAAAATGTTAAGGGAAACAAACTGGCGGTTTCCAATGCAGGAACTGCACTGAGAACTCTTAGGTCCAGTAAATAACTATACATGAGCAGTTCCTTGGGTTGCTACCTTTGGGCTCTCTAGCACATCATATGTCCACTCTTCTAAGATGGGGAGTTTGTAAAGGGAGCTTATTAAACACAGATTCAATTCCACGTGTGAAAAATGGCCCTTGCCTTAACGCTATAAACGGCCCTTACTGTTTATAACATTATGAATGAACAAAGCAGAGGAAATCCCTAGATGGGGCATCACTTTATCACTGTACGGCTTCAGAGGCTCCCCCGCGGCTGGCGGTGCGAGGCCGAGCGCAGCCCCACACGCCAGCTCCGGCGGGGAGGCCCGGGCGCTACTCACGGAAGGCGGCCAAGCCCAGCATGGGGACCAGCAAGGCGTAGTTCCATCGGCTGCCTTCATCCCCGGGCTCTCGTCGATTTGGCAGGATGTTCCAGTTGGGGGGGTCATTTAAATTATTCATGAAGGCGCCTGACAGCAGAGAAACGCGGCCTTAGCG